GTTTTAGGGTTTAGGTTTGGGGATTAAGGGTTAGACTTTTCACTTTAGGGTTTAGGGATTAGGGTTTAGGGATTAAGGGCTAGACGTTAGGGCTTCGGGATTATTACCGTTACTTTATCTTTGGGGTGGTCATTCTGAATTTGAAAAATTTAGACTTAAGGAAATTGAGGGACCCTAAGTAATGGTAAGTTTATGGCTTGAGGGATTAGGGATTAGAGAAGCGGGTTTAGGGATTAGGGTTTGAGGTTTCGAGTTTAGGGTTTGGGTTTCAGGTCCCGCCCCTATGGAACTCCATGCAGCGCCGCTTCAGAAACGAACGTCGTCTTTGCAGAGCTATTTCCCAGATTCCACGTTACTTGTAGTTTTGTGGGAAAATACACCCCAAACCATATGCGACCCTATATGAAAGACCCTAAACCCTAAACCCTAAAACCTAAACCCTTACCCCTAAACCCTAGACCCAAAACCTTAAACCCTAAACCCCTTTTCTAAACCTGTAAAGCCCCTTTGGTTTGGGACAGGGTACACAGCAGACTTCACTGCTCAAACTTGGGCTCAGGGTTTCACGGATGGTGCTTTCAGGGCGATGTAAGGTTTGGGAATCATATGTAGGTTAGGGTTTTAGGGTTTAGGGTTTAAAAGCTTGGTGCTGGGCACAAATCCCGCCAAAGATGTGAAATCTAGTGAAGCAGCATTGGGCTTGCTGAATTGAGATAACAAGTCACTAGCAATAGGTTCGGCGTTCCGGCGGTGAAAAGCAATCCTTACTACATGGCCGTATAAGATGTATAGTGGCGAAAAGATGCCAATCCGATCTTGGGTCCCTGTCGGGGGTCAAGGGGATAGCGCCGCATTCAAGCGTTCCGTGCTTCATGAAGGAAGACGTGCTTGCGAGTCATCCAGTACGCTTTCTCTTCAGCTTCTGCATGCCTACCTTGCCTAGTCATGAACACAGCGCTGGCAACACTGCCTACCAAGCTAGGTCTACAACTACCAAGCTCTAAACCCTCAACCATACTCATAGTCCCCCTTAAGTAGATAGAATATGGGGTATATGGGGATCTTATTGTAATATACCGAAAGCCATATTCTATCTACTTAAGGGGGACTATAAACCCTCAACCACACTTAAGCACTTGTGAGCACTTCTCCTCCCTCTTGGCCTCCCTGGCCATAGCCAAAAAGAAAGATCTCGTCGAGGGACCAGCCTCGCATTAGTCTCGTTGGAGGCTTAGGGGGTTTCAAGGTGCATAGGTTTTAGGGCTTGGGGACTTTGGGTTTTGGGAGGGTTCAGGGTAGAAGGGTGGGGGGTCTTTGGGCTTTTGCAGGCTTAGGGGTTGTAGGGTTGTTTGTCACCTAATGGTTCAGAAGCGATTGTTGAGCTTCTATGGTCGCATTTTCAACATGTTTAACAGATCACATCTGGTACTATAAGACAGAAGTATTTCAAGAATCCATTTGCATGGAGCTCAATGTGTGAGAATGTGGCTCCATGCAAAAGGAGCGCTCATCAAACACATAACTGCCTTTGCAGATTGTAGGGGAATGTGGAACGCCGATGGACAAGCGGCGCGCTCACTCAGCCAAAGAACTTAAGGGTGCTACGGTCTAGGCGCAGGATTTGGTAATCTACCAAAAGGGGGGACCAATATCGAACCCAAAATACTACAATCCTGACTATACGGACCCCAGAGAAAAGGTACCTCTAATTTTGGGAAACCCCCATTTGAGGCAACTGACTTACTCCTCGTGCCCGTGGGATACACGTAGCGCCTGTGTGCAGCCTTTGAACCCTATAAACTTTCTGACCCCTAAAGCCCCAAACCCTAATCCCCCAAAACCCCTGAACCCTGAACTAATCCCCCCAAACCCCTGAAATCTAAGCCCCCCAAACCCCTACATAAAAACTACACCCTAAACCCTCAGTCCTAGGAAACGACAGTGAGAGAATCTGGGAGCCCGGATAATCCCCATCCCCCTGACATTAAACCCTGAACCCAGCCCCCCTAACATTCAATACTTCCCATTACGGTGTATTGTAATATATTGGGAGTCCCTAAGCCCTAAAACCTCTGTCAGGAAGGGGTGGGTAGGTTTAATATTAGCGGCCGGACTGGACAGGAAGAGAGCCTTGATTGCAACTTTTCCGAGACTGAACCCAGAGTTAAGCTTAGGGCTTCTGGTTTAGGGACTATGGTTTTAGGTTTCGGGTTTTGGGATTAGGGTTTCGGGTTTAGGGTCCTCAGGGTCCAAGCACACAATACTGAGGTACCTGGGATTTGGGCAGTAGTACTTGTATTGCAGGTTTGGGGTCAGTATATGAATTTTGTATAATAAAATCGTATCCCTTTTGGAACATCCCTTGGCGACTATGGACCTTCTGATGGCACTTCTGCTCCTCCTGCCCACAAGGATCACCAATGCAATTGTTGCAACGGCTGCCGTGACTTTTTCGCAGTTCACTTGTCAAACTACTGCTTGTATTCTCGGATACATGCACAGCATCCATGATTTTTCTTCGTTGTCCAATAGTGCGCGGCGCCGTTGATTGAATGAGCAAAACTTGAAGTACGCTAGATGTTCTTGACCAAGTGGAAGAACTTTGCTCAATGCAAGTACTTTTTGAGAATGTCACAATTCCTGACTCTCCCATTGACGAAAGCTCTGGATCTTGGAAGGATCCATACACCGAAACCTCAAACTCACCATCACAAACCTCTAAATTGCAAAACCTGGGAACACGGAACCTCAATCCCTATACATACCGAAGGAACTCTGTAGGCGATCCCGGCAGTTTTGGAGCCACACTCTTTAATCTTAAAACCCTTAAAGCCTTATAAATCCTAAACACTGAAACCCCTAAATCCCAACTCTCCTGGGCTCCCGCGCCCAAGTCAGCCGTTAGCACACCCAGGGCTTTCCAAAGCAGTTTGATGCCTGGGCGGAAGTTTCTCAATGGCGTGTATATGTACCTATATGCATATGTATAGGTGGTATATGCATATTACGGGAGTTTGTAGGCGGAATATGCGGGATACATGGATTACATATAATTTCTGCATCCACTTCTTTAGCGGCGCTCTTCAAAATATGGGTCCCAAACGATTTTGGGAAGCGAGGTGCTCTTTCAGGCTCTCAAATGCTGCCCATCACGGTCTCCCAAAGTCCACAACTCAAGTTGCGCATTTTGCTATATGGTAGTTTCCCAAAGTAGGGGACCCCAGTATAGACCCCGAAATATTCAATAAGGTACCCCTAATTTTGGGAAACCCCCATATAATCCTTGAACAGAACCCTCCCCACCCCCGCTGGGTCGACCACTTTCTTCCATAGACCGTAGACGCCGGCGCTCCTCTCAACCAGCCAGCCCAGAGGGCGCCAAACGCAAAGACAGCAAGCAACCGATGATGTAGGGTTTGGGTTTAGGGTTTA